AGTTCCGTGAACATGTCCGTGTTACATAAGTGACCTTTTTCTACAAAGAGAATTACAGTTGTAATTAGGGCTAGAAATTACATTTATGGGAATAAGGACTGGTGCACTGGTTGGGGTGCACCCCAATCTTGAACTGTTTTCTGACACCTAGATGACAAGAACATGCTGTATGCTAGTATATATTTAATAATATCCTTACATTATGTAAACCTACAAAAATGCACCCACAGTAAAAATTAGGTGCCCAGCTCCAATTTTGGCATGCACCCAGTATTTCGAGCCCAGCAGTATCTAGCAAATCGGCAGAACGTACTGCACCTGCACGAAATCAGCAATGTGCATGTACATTAATTTTGTACATGAACATGTACAGTTTGTGCATAGCACTTTGGCAGTCTCATATACATTCGTAAGGTCATATCCGTGCATATAACTATATTAAGGTTAGTCCATAGTTTCCGAATGTTATGTCGGAAAAGATATCCTCTCCAACAGGCAGAATTCTGATGCAACGTTGACCAAAAATCAAACGAAAACCGTGAAAAATGGAGGTGTACGTGCTGCCAACTTGTTGCAGTATCTTATGTTGACCCTTACCCTCCTCGATGACCCTGCCCTTTTCGTCCAGCATGCCTTCGATCTCGCACCCCCTGACACAGGTCAGGCCCACCTGGGGGACAAACGGCTGGTCGTGGCTGTACCTGGTGCCGATGGGCAGGGTGGGCGGACAGACACCAGGAAACAAACGTCATGTTTCCGCAGGGCTGAACATGGAAGAGAATATTGGCAGAAAAATATCATTTAGTGGTCATTTTAGGACTAACCAGAAAGGTAATAAACACACATTTCCACTGCAAATACATAATGTTTACCTTCACATTTTCTACCCTAACAAACTACTGATCTGCTTTTTTTCTGCTCTACTTTAACACATTTAAACATGTACATATGGTGAGCAGCCACTCCAATTCTGTCCTGCCACTTGCTACATAATGTTGTCACAAAGATGAGAGAACAGAAGGGCAACCAATTAAGTTCACTCTTTTGTTAAGTTGCATGAACTTACATAGATATAAGTGACAAAGTCATGAAGAAAAAAAGCAAATTTAAAGCGAGCTGTAGTGAAGCAAACATTTGCAAACAATACAGCATAGTTCACTCCATCTCCCTCAAAAGCGACCTATGGTATGGAGTGAAACGTAATGACAACTTACACTCCCACTCCTGCTTGATGTGCTGTCTGAGGTTCAGGTTCACAGTGACGTCTGCCCTGACTCTGGAGGGGTGATTCTTCCCTACATGAGGCTTGGAAACCTACATAATACATACACGAGAGCGAGGCAAAGAAGAAATCAAAATTAGAGGTAACATACAAAAACACCCCTGACCAATACATTAAAAAAAAAATGAATGTTTAATGCTTGTTATGTAAACAAGACATTACCTTGTACACATGTACATGTAGGTGTTCTTGCAGCTTGGTCAAGTCTTCTGTGATCAACCATTTTCTATGATCATGACCAACTCATTTTTATATACATGTAGCTCATGCATGGTAGTGGTACATGTACATACATGTACATGTAAAATGTATCAGTCTCATTCACTTAAAAATTTAACATGCCAGAATATGTTAGGTGTTTACATAATTATTTCATCTCTTCAATGTATCTTCCAGGTCAACACCTGACATTGTACAGTGGAGCAAAAATAAAAGGTCTACATTCACAAAAATAAACGAGTAAAAAACCTACCTCAACAACAGCAAATGCCACGACTGGCTGAGCCATCCTGGCCCATCCTCCAAAATACACACCTCCATCCTCCGCTTTCCTGAATGATGTTAAAGATGGACAACAATATTTAATCAATCTTGAAAGTACATCTGTGTTGATAGAAATCATTATAAAGCAAGTTTAAAGTGTAATATCCAAAACAATAAATTGGACTCAGCCAAATTTTCGACTGCACAACTCCAGTCTTTGTCAAGGAATGAGCAATCCACCGCTTCCGTGACGTCACGCAGATAACACATGTGACCCCGTGAGCAGTGGATCATAGGTTGATCATTCCTTGACAAAGACTGGAGTTGTACAGTCGAAAATTTGGGTGAGTCCAATTTATTGTGTTGGATATTACAGTTTAAACTTGCTTCATAATATTTAATCAACAGAGTCTTTATTACATTGAAAAAACTGAATGAATGTATGGTTTATTTGTATAAAACCTGCTAACATCGCAGCTGAAATATTAATTCACTTACAATTGTACATGTTCAGAATTACCTAATAGTACAGAAAAACAATATTCTACTCATTTCTAGCTTGATGAAAAATAAATTTTTATTATTATTTAGAATTTCATCACAGACTATTATCATCTCAACAAATGATGAGACTATGTGTAGTTTGAAAATTTAACACATTTCTACTAAATGTACCTTGAATTTTAGCTGACTAACTAGTATTTTTGACCCTGCCTATATTCAGGTACCAAACAATTTCAGCATGAAAGCAATACTGAGTATTCCATGACATTGTTGAATGATACAAAATGCTTTAAAACAATACAATGTATTAAGAAGTACATTGTACATACCATGGCTTCATTCTGCCAACTGCGTCTTCTATATCTTGTCTGATTTCATCTGCAGGAACAGAGCATAACGTTTTAATGTGAAATTTTACCATATATTTGTAAGCTTTAAAGGAATTGTAAATTGTGTGCAATTCAGTGACCGGGAGGGTCACCTGTAAATGTGAAATAAACACATCTTGAATCTAAAAATTGAATTGCTCTCGTGCTGTAGGCTTATGTAACAGTGGGGGGTTTATAGGCGCTACCAACTGACCCGGGCGATGGGTCTAGACCTTTTCGGCCGAGTGGTTAGATCGTCGGACTGGTGCCCGGGAGGTTGTGGGTTCGAACCCCGGCCCGGGACCAGGGGTCTGTTTCTATTTGCTCCTCCTGTTTCTTACAGTGGTTCCCACACCGGCCCTGGGAGTTCTGGCAAAGAGTGCCGCTCCAGGGATGTCAAATTCAGAAGATTCGAGGACAAATCTTGAAAAAGAAAAGGGGGAGTAGTGTAACAGTGGTGGGGGGTTTATAGGCGCTACCAACTGACCCAGCCAATGGGTCTAGACCTTTTCGACTGAGTGGTTAGAGTGTCTGTCCGTGGACTGACTGAAAGAAGATTTGAACATGTGTGTGTAACAGTATTTAAATGTCTGAATGGCTTGATGCCCACATACCTATCCTCTACTTTCTTGCACAATTATAATCTTCATACATATCACACCAGACAGACTACTAAACTACACTTACCAAAATACAATACCTCAACTGGTCAGCGAGCCCTCGCTTACACGGGTGCAAAGTACTTCAATAGACTACCAGCAGAAGTAAGGCAGATTCAAACTTTAAAACACTTCAAGGCAGCTACTAAGACGACCTCTGACCTCCAATCATTTTGAACGGAAATCGATTTTCGTTGATTATGATTATGATTTGAAGTTATGTTTTCTTGTAAATTCCCTCAGTTCATGTTGAACTTCGTATT